TTCATAGTGGAGAATGGACACTAATATAAGATGGACAGAATATACGATGTTTAATACACGTGACATGTTAATTTCTGGCTGCCCATATAAACACAGCTAGCAGTACATCACCAATTCGAATTGCCAAAACTTCACTTGCTCAGCCCCTCTCCCACCCGCCCAGTGCCAGCAGCAGTCCCCCTATCGTAGTGGGTCCTTCAGACTAGCTGGCATTGTTTGTGGCGTGGGTTCTGTTCCTTGCGGCATTGATAGCATTAGGCGGTCCCTGCAGATTTATTCTGATCAGATCTATTGTGTTAAGCAGATATAATAAAAATAAAATACTTATTTGAGGAGTAGTTGAGGCTGTACCAGCAACCGCACCATGCCCTCCTGTACCCCAAGTCCTGTTTGATCTCCCCCAGAATGCATTGTTTTTCACTGACATACTAGACATTAGCCATCCATCCAGCTAGTAAAACATGTTAAATCACTCCTTTGTTGTTACTCCCAGGTTGGCTAATTATGTAACGGCATGCTGTGTTTATGTTTAGCTTGGCAATGAAGAAGTTAATGACCCCATGGCACGCAGAGCAAGTCTCAGTTCTGTGTTATTTGACAAAACAAACAGGCTTGTTAATGTGCTCCGCACAGAGTTACAATCACAGTTTGCACCGTAAACATTCACTGCTCAACCCAAAACAGAGGAAAGAAAATGTAACAAGCTGAGCCGGCTTTGAATCTGGATAGGCCATGCCCTGCACCCCCACCCCTTCCACCTTCTGATGGGCCCCCTCCTACAGTGTATGAAGGCTGTATGGCAGTGTATTTCATGTCCAGACCATCACCCTGAGTCTGTGGCCTGCAGCTATATAGAGATCTGATTCTCGTACACATAATTAAACACTCTAGGTTGTGCCGAGCTGTAAATTGGAAGCTCTCAGACAGTAAAGGCAGCCTGTGGCATTTTATGTAAATTAAGCTTGTGCCAGTTTCCAAGTCATAGCAGCCAGCCAGGCAGATGTAAGGCAAAAAATTAAACACGCTTTTGATGTCATGTTTTTCATATTGAGGGGGATGTATGGTTAGAAGATTCTGTGGTGTATAACTCCCAGTGTGGCAAAGCATCTTGAAGGCAGTTACCCCATAACCCTAAATATCATCAAAGCGTTACACCAGCCTTGTTTTACACAATCAGAATTATCGTTTCTAATGTGCTATTGTAGTGTTAATCTCATTAACCCTTTTAATTGTATAGCAAGGTACTAGCCTACTGGTGTCAGTTTATTTAAAACATAACATTTAATACATTTGTTTAAAATCTTGCTGTTGCAAACCAAGAAATAAACCAAAAATGATTACTTAATTCTAAGACTATCAATAGCATAGACCAAAAAACAAATGTATAAAGAAAACAAAAAAATATAATTATTAAAGGAAAAAGACTAATATAGAAGTATCCAATATAATATATATGTGAAATAAATTGAATTATTAATTGTTTCTGGGATTACAGCCTGAGCCCGAGTATAAGAAATTTAGAGTGTAGATTTAGAGATGTCAGTGAAACTAAAACTGGCAATCCTAAGAGACACAAAGTATCAGAAGAGTCACTATAACCACGAAGACAGAACTATAGTTTAGTATACTATTGTATCAGTTTCCTCCCCCTTGTAGAGCCGCCTTACCGGCGAAACGTGTGTCGGGGCTCTGCTCTGCACTATACTCTATAATTATTACTTTTACATATTTGTTTTTTTCGTTTGCTATTAGATCATAGACATTATGTCCTCTGCAATAGATATAGGCAAGGCGTATGTATGACTCTGTTTTTCCTATATCAGTGCTCACCTTAGACTAGCAGACCGTTTCTTATACAGAACAGGTGCCCTTGAAGGCACAGCTTAGCAATTCACAGGACGATTGGTAAACAGCACTATTTGGGAGAGCAGTCATGCATTGAATAATTCGATCTTTGTATCTGATACTAGAGGTTTTCAGGCTGAGCGCCTTGTTTTATAGAGTTTATAATCTAAGCACAGTGATACTGATAGTTCCCTTTTATAATTTAGTTTTTTTGTTTTTTGGTATTATTATACTATTGATAGTCTTAGAATTAAAGGATCACTATAGTGTCAGGAAAACTAAACAGTTAAAATCCCCTTAGCCACTTACCTTTTTCCAGCGCCGGGCTCCCTCGGCGCTGTTGACCTCTCCTCCTCCGCCGACGTCAGCGGAGCTGAATGCGCATTTCAATACTTTCCTATGGACACTCTGCGTGATCGAGGCATAATATGCCTCCAGCGTTGCAGATGCACCTCTAGTGGCTGTCCGGAAGACAGCCACTAGAGGCTGGCTTAAAGGGAAACTCCAGTGCCAAGAAAACAATCTGTTTTCCTGGCACTGCAGGTTCCCTCTCCCTCCCACCCCCCCAATCCCCGGTTGCTGAAGAGGTGACAACCCCTTCAGTGACTTACATGAGGCAGCAACGATGTCACTCGTCGCTGCTTCCTCCTCCGCCGCCACGCCTCCTCTGCATTGCGTTGGCCCGGTGGGAGAGACTGATCCCGCCCACCGGCCGGGGAGACCTAATGTGCATGCGCGGCAATGCCGCACCTGCGCATTAGCGCTCCCCATAGTAAAGCATTGAAAATGCATTTCAATGCTTTCCTATGGGGAAATGAGCAATGCTCATAGCGTGAGGACGTCCAGCGACGCTCTAGCACAGGTTTCCTGTGCTAGAAACCAGGAAGTGCCCTCTAGTGGCTGTCTAGTAGACAGCCACTAGAGGTGGAGTTAACCCTGCAAGGTAATTATTGCAGTTTATAAAAAACTGCAATAATTACACTTGCAGGGTTAAGAGTAGTGGGAGTTGGCACGCAGACCACTCCATTGGGCAGAAGTGGTCTGGGTGCCTGGAGTGTCCCTTTAACCCCATATGTAAACATAGCAGTTTCTCTGAAACTGCTATGTTTGCATCTGCAGGGTTAAAACCTGAGGGACCTGGCACCCAGACCACTTCATTGAGCTGAAGTGGTCTGGGTGACTATAATGTCCCTTTAAGTAAGAATTTGGGGGTTTATTTGTTGGTTTTCAACAGATTTATTAAATGTTATGTTTTAAATAAACTGACACCAGTAGGCAATTACCTTACATAGAAACATAGAAACATAGAATGTGACGGCAGATAAGAACCATTCGGCCCATCTAGTCTGCCCAATTTTCTAAATACTTTCATTAGTCCCTAGCCTTATCTTATAGTTAGGATAGCCTTATGCCTATCCCACGCATGCTTAAACTCCTTTACTGTGTTAACCTCTACCACTTCAGCTGGAAGGCTATTCATGCATCCACTACCCTCTCAGTAAAGTAATACTTCCTGATATTATTTTTAAACCTTTGTCCCTCTAATTTAAGATTATGTCCTCTTGTTGTGGTAGTTTTTCTTCTTTTAAATATAGTCTCCTCCTTTACTGTGTTGATTCCTTTATATATTTAAATGTTTCTATCATATCCCCCCTGTCTCGTCTTTCCTCCAAGCTATACATGTTAAGATCCTTTAACCTTTCCTGGTAAGTTTTATCCCGCAATCCATGAACCAGTTTAGTAGCCCTTCTCTGAACCCTCTCTAAGGTATCAATATCCTTCTGAAGATACGGTCTCAGTACTGTGTACAATACTCCAAGTGAGGTCTCACCAGTGTTCTGTACAATGGCATGAGCACTTCCCTCTTTCTACTGCTAATACCTCTTCCTATACAACCAAGCGTTCTGCTAGCATTTCCGGCTGCTCTATTACATTGTCTGCCTACCTTTAAGTCATCAGAAATAATCACCCCTAAATCCCTTTCCTCATATGTTGAGGTTAGGACTATCAAATATTCTGTACTCTGCCCTTGGGTTTTTACGTCCAAGATGCATTATCTTGCACTTATCCACATTAAATGTCAGTAGCCACAATTCTGACCATTTTTCTAGTTTACCTAAATCATTTGTCATTTGGCTTATCCCTCCTGGAACATCAACCCTGTTACATATCTTAGTATCATCAGCAAAAGACATACCTTACCATCAAGACCTTCTGCAATATCACTAATAAAAATATTAAAGAGAATGGGTCCAAGTACAGATCCCTGAGGGACCCCACTGGTGACAAGTCCAAGCTTCGAATATATTCCATTAACTACAACCCTCTGTTGCCTGTCACTCAGCCACTGCCTTACCCATTCAACAATATTGGAATCCAAACTTAAAGATTGCAGTTTAGTGATAAGCCTTCTATGTTCAATTACTTCTTACCTAGGGTTATCCCCCTCTTGCCACAGTGTTTCTGATATTTATAATTCCTATCCCTTTCCCCATTAAAATACATTAACCCTTTTATGTCAAGGAGTTGGCTTTGGTAAGAGCTCTACCAGGTCACTAGCCATCAAGGGGTTAAACTTGGCTCCCGGCCATTCTCTTCCCTTTGACCTAAAGTGTTTCTCTGAAACGCTATTCTTCCCCACAACTATATGTTTTCATGTAAATATTTTTGTTTGATGCAAATATTTTGAGTCTCAAAGTTGCAATTTTTCAGGAAGCATTTTGAAAATCTGCAGTGAGCAGGAACCTGATTTTCACAGTTAGTGCTCCAACCTGGCCAGGCTCAGCTTAGTGAATAAATCCCACATTGTGAATCGATAGCTAGGGGCCTGACTTACTAAACGGGTCATTATAGTGTTTACATCAAGCTTGCAAACCGGAGACTGAAATAAAAATTACACTTTTAATCATTTGGTTTAAATGTTGATGTTTTGTTGTCAGAGAGCTTGTACCCTATCTTAGGTTAGTCCCCCCTGTTTCTGAACGATGATATTACATGGAGCTATAGTAAAAGTGAGGAATACATTGGCCATGTATTCAATACACAAAATATACCTGCTGGGTGAATGGGGCAGGCCTGTCTCTGAGCCCCGCCTCCCTCATACAGGTGTGCAGGCAGGCTGAGATTCCATTCACTCCATACACTGACAGCCAGCAATGCTATAACCTGGGACACACTCTCTCCAGTATCTACCTTTACTCTATACATTCTATATTCTGCTAGCTAGCAATGCTATAACCTGGGACACACTCTCTCCAGTATCTACCTTTACTCTATACATTCTATATTCTGCTAGCTAGCAATGCTATAACCTGGGACACACTCTGCCCAGTATCTACCCTTACTCTATTCACTGACAGCCAGCAATGCTATAACCTGGGACACACTCTGCCCAGTATCTACCCTTACTCTATCCATTCTATACACTGACAGCCAGCAATGCTATAACCTGGGACACACTCTGCCCAGTAACTACCCTTACTCTATCCATTCTATACACTAACAGCCAGCAATGCTATAACCTGGGACACACTCTCTCCAGTATCTACCCTTACTCTATACACTGACAGCCAGCAATGCTATAACTTGGGACCCACCCAGTATCTACCTTTACTCTATCCATTCTATACTTTGCTAGCTAGCAATGCTATAACCTGTGTCCCACTCTCCCCAGTACCTCACTCTGTAAATGTGACACTATGGGTCCTGGAGCCCCTTGCTGAGCCCATGTGCAGTTTGTTATTTTAAAGATTGAAGCTTTGCTCTGTCTGCAGATATTGACTAACAGGAGAGTGCAGTGACCATGGAAGGAGCAGGCACTCTGATTGGCATCGGTGGGCTAAAGCAAGTCCTGGTGATCATTGTGATATTTATCATACAGAGCGAGTCAGCTGACTGTAAGTCTAGCATTTATCTAATTGTAGACTTGTTTATTTGTCTATATTATCCATCTTTTGTATATAATCTGTTTATTGTTTAGCATTTATCTGTCTGTCTATTGTGTATCATTCATCTATCTAGATATATCGTATCTCCCATTGATGGAGCAGTGTGTCTAGCCACATGTGAAATACATTGATTAGAAACTCCCTTTGAAGGGAGCGGTAACATTTTGAGATCCAATTTCAGAGATTTACAACTTTTATAAAACCCAAGCAGTCTTTGTTTCCTGCCTGAGCATTGTTGGAGTTGAATTCTGATATCTCCTGTGTTCAAACTAGCACTATCAGCCTCAAATATTATTCATTGTTATCCACTAGTTGTTGCATTGCATCGCTTTCCAGCAGAGGTGGTAAATGCAGTCGTTTATCCTGAGAGGTGAAGGATACGTTGACATATACTAGCTAAATTGAGAATTGTCGGGAATTCTAACTTTAATCTCAAAATAACCAAGCAAGAAAAGTTTCTCCAAGTCGGCTGTGCCTGTGGCTTGCTATATTTTCCTTCACTTTGAATTTCCAGCAATTCTCCCGTTTAGTAAATATCTCTAACAGATGTATTGGGGTGTATAGTAATCTTGTGATGTGTGTCGTTTCTGTATTTAACCTGCGCCATGCATGTGGCAGCATATCTTAATGTCATTTACCTCCTGACCTGTATGTTACACCAGAATACAAATTACCTGACCCTCTTAACCCCTGCCTTCCCAGAAACTAATTTCTACCATTGGTTGGTTAGGCAGATTTCTGTGGCAGTCAGGTAGTTAATAGTTACCTCATTAAAGGGACACTGTGGGGACCAGAACCACTGCAGCGCTGGTTTACCTTTTGGGGTTAAACCGTTAATGAACAGTTTAACTGCAAAGTGTTGAATGCAGCACTAGTTAGCTCTGCTTTCCTTCACTTTTGTCCCAACTTGAATCCCGAAGCCTAGGAACGTCAGGATCGCCGTGCATTGGTTAGTGTCAGCTAGCGCGCTCGGCATAGTAGCAACCCACTGTACAAGACTTCCTGATTCAAGTCTCAAACAAAATCAGAAGGAGCACAGCTAGCCGGCGCTGGATTCAACACTTCATTAACTGTTTATCCCTCAAAGTTAAGCTGGTGCCATGGACACCCATATAATGAAGTTGTTATGGGGCAAGCTCCTGTCCATGCAGGCCGAGCAGTGTAAATGCTGGCTTGCCTGAGAAATGGCAGTGTTTAAAGGACCACTCCAGGCACCCAGACCACTTCAGCTTAATGAAGTGGTCTGGGTGCCAGGTCCTTCTAGGGTTAACCCATTTTTTCATAATTATAGCAGTTTCAGAGAAACTGCTATAATTATGAATGGGTTAAGCCTTCCCCTAATCCTCTAGTGGCTGTCTCATTGACAGCCACTAGAGGCGCTTGCGTGCTTCTCACTGTGATTTTCACGGTGAGAGCACGCCAGCGTCCATAGGAAAGCATTGTAAATGCTTTCCTATGAGACCGGCTGAATGCGCGCGCAGCTCTTGCCGCGCGTGCGCATTCAGCCGGCGGGGCGTAACGGAGGCGGAGAGGAGGAGGAGAGCTCTCCGCCCAGCGCTGGAAAAAGGTAAGTTTTTACCCCTTTCCCCTTCCAGAGCCGGGCGGGAGGGGGACCCTGAGGGTGGGGGCACCCTCAGGGCACTATAGTGCCAGGAAAACGAGTATGTTTTCCTGGCACTATAGTGGTCCTTTAAATCACTCGGATGGCTTCTCCACTGTCTGCATGGAGATGCTGATTTGCCGTGCATGCACACTACTCTCCCCATGGATAAGCAGAGGATTGGCTAAGATCGTCAGGACCGATGACCGCAGTGAGACAAGAGCCCCTGGGAAATAACGATAAGTTAAATGCTTTACTTAATGGTTAATGGATAGACGGCAATAATCCAAATGGTTAGCATAGCACTCAAGCAATAGGAAGACCTGTTTGTATCCCTAACATTAGTTACCACTGGTGGTCTGTGCAGCCACTGGTCATACGTGGATACAATGATTCCCTGCGGTACTATCACTGGTGTAATGATACGTATATAGTATACGTGGATACAATGAATCCCTGCGGTACTATCACTGGTGTAATGATACGTGTATATAGTATACGTGGATACAATGAATCCCTGCGGTACTATCACTGGTGTAATGATACGTGTATATAGTATACGTGGTTACAATGAATCCCTGCGGTACTATCACTGGTGTAATGATACGTGTATATAGTATACGTGGATACA